GCTTGTCTAGCTAATTGCTCGCATAAGTTCGCAATCGCAACTACTCGGCCCTTTCCGTCAGTCTTCGGATAAGGACCTCGAACACAATAGTATGAATACACAGAACGGATGCGGTATTTCGGTCTAACCTACGCTAAGAAACTAAACATGTAAACAAATAGTAATTTAATGCTGGGAGTCGTTTACAAGTTTATTTCCAATATATGTAGTAAAAGGTCATCTAAAATAAGTAAAATCATAGGTACAAAAGCAAACAATTCATTATTTTTAAATTTATTATTATGGTTGTAGAAACCGAAAGTACAAAAACCCAACCTGTTGACATTTTCTTCGGATTTGTTTAAAATTGAACATCAGTGGGCATATTTAAATTACAAATTGTTGTCAGACATATTTTCAAGCAAAAGAGTACCGGAACAGGCATTAGATGTCAAATATATACATTCGTTTCACATTATCTCTGTTTCTGTTTACATCTGAAACCACGTGGTAGAACTACTTTCAATCCGTATTGTTTCCGAGGTTAATATTATAGATAATAGCCGAGGCAGTTCCGAATGATAAGTTCGAACATGGATTATCTCGGGTCACAGCTAGGAGCTAAAAATAGAAAAATATTGTTTACACTCTAATAGCTACTGTTTTGATAGTTGAAATTAGTCTGCAAGTTTGTTTTGATAATTTCTAGTTCAAGTTCGAAACTGGGCCACCTGGGGTCAAAAGCTTGGTCACACTGCCAAAATATGGAAAAACCTTGTTAACACTTTAATGGTCACATTTTTGACTCTATTGCCACCAAACTTTGTCAGGATGCTTGTATAAATAATTGCTTGGATGAGTTCGATGGGTCAGGTGAGCGATCTAGGGCCATCTTGGCCCTCTTGTTTAAAGTTTCATAGCAATTTGAACTTGTAACAGGAGGCTGAAAACAGCCATTTTTCACAAAATGCTCCTGAAGGAATGGGTTTATATAGACCTTTAGAAAACACATTGATCGAAGTGTTAATTGTTGTGTGAAACTAATATGCTCCACCTTGGGGTCACTTTGTACCCACAGGTGGCAGGATCAGTGTTTGGACACCCCACCCCTATCTGCCCCTGGACCCCTACTACCACTCTGAAAAAAATATAATTCAACACTGTAAGGCTTACTATAAGGTACCAAATACAAAACCACCGATGAAATTATATAAAAAAAATTCCACTATCAAAATTATAGTTATAGAATCTATAACTATAATTTTGATAGTGGAATTTTTTTTATATATATATATATATATAAAATTATTTTCCACTATCAAAATTATAGTTCCACTTTTCAAAAGAAAACGCATCAGATCTTTTTGTGGAAAACTACAGTGCCCGGAGATTGCATTGACATGTACGTGGTATTGAAAATACTTCGTAAATTAAGTTCATGAAATAGTTCTGTCAGTAACATTAGCGAGAAAAAAAGTTGTTCATACATAAAAGTATATATATCTAAAACCAAACGTCTATTTACGCGTATTTCAAGTCGCTAACTGACCAACATAAAAAATTATAGCGTCCCGAATCATCTGGACGTCTATTTTTTCACTTTAAAAGAAATCTTTGTCCATGAAAATATTTTGTTTATCTGAATGAAATAAATGAGAGAAAAAATTTTTTCTATAAAATAATACATGTAAATCCATAAGAATAAAGCATTAGATTTCATGTGCATTTAGTTCGGGTCCCCGTTTACAGGACAAAAAGGAAACAGCTAGTCAGTTTAATATATTAAACCAAAATACATATTAACTTTCAGAGTTATATCAGAAAATCGATTTTTGATTTTACAAGCAGACTAATGCTTAACAACAACATAAAAGATATCGAACAACAACATAAAAGACATCGACACTTCACATTTTAGTACCGGAACGATACATTTCTGTTATTTTGATATTTTGTTATGTTCCCTATATTGTATTGAAACAACCTTTGGTGAAAATTAAAAATATCGCATAACGCATTTAAATATGCAATGCTTGTTACAGATACAAATATTACATAATATGTAATTAATTAATAGCAGCAATACGAATTAACAAGAGATTATCTATGGAATAGGTATGCTATTTTTCACACCTACGTACGGCTGTGAGACTCCAATCATGATAATTGTGACTGCATGATAATTACCTCAGCATAGGTGTTATATTGTGTTAACAGTTTACTTAATTCATTCAAAATTTAGAATATGACATTTTCAGCTCAGTTTAAATTAAATGTATATAAACTACTGGTTATTGCTTACTGTTTATAGTCTGACTTACAATGGCTAAAGTCGTATTATTTGGTGACAGTTCTGTTGAACGTCTTCACTATTTTTGTGCTGAATACCCATTTAAAGTACCAAGGAACGTGCAGTGGTGTTTTAAAAGCGGTCTAAGAACCGACCATATGGACCATGCCCTATATTCTCGTCTGCTGCAACAAAACGCAGATGTTGTAGTTCTGAATGTAGGCGGTAATGACATAACAGCTACATCATTTTCGAGCGAAATTGTCAGTAGAATCCAAATTCTTGTGGATAATTTAAAGGACTCTGGGGTTAAAAAAGTTTATATTTGTGAAATTTTAGCCAGAGGCGAATTTGAAGAACCTGGTTTGACAAAAGAACGTTTTGAAAATCAAAGAAAATACATTAATAAAAAGTTGGCGAAAAAATTCAGAGAATATTTAATTCGATTCAATGATATTAAATACTGTAAAGACTACCACACAGACAAGGTCCATCTTAACACCAGTGGGCACAAAAAAATTCAGGGCCAGATTACAGCGCGTGCTGGGTAAAACAGATACGTGAATGGCTGAAAACTGTCCTTTTAAGGACAACAAAGGCCCTTTTAAGGGCCGGACATATGTCTCGAAAGAAATTACCTCAATTGTCAATCATAATATAACCGGTCTTACCAATGAATTTCCCTTTCCAACAAACTGCAACTTTCAGAGCATCATACATGTTATTATTGATTTATACAGAAACAGACTTTAATAAATGATATTTTTACAATTCAGCAGTAACCCGTTTATAATATACGTACTGTAATACATACCTGTACATATACACTGTTTCATGTTTTTGCACGTGTACAATTCATATACAATACATTACTACCGATATTGAATCTGAAAATAAAGTTATGAAGATTATTACATGATTTTTTAATTTTACATTTTCTAGTGTTAAAAATAATGCTTGGGACGCTTTTTAATGAGACCGCTTAACTATCCAAATTAAATGAATACGAACTGCAGGGATAAAGGTTATAGTCCGAACACGATAAACAGATTGTGTGTGTGTTTTTAGGTTTATTTTAGCTCGGCGCCGGAAATTACATATGTCCGAGATCTCAGCGTCCATGCCGGTCCACTCTAGTAGACTCATCGGGGACGTCTTTTCATGCCGATCTTCCCAAGTCCTGTTCTTCGTTCGATGGAGGAAAGATAAAACCGGAAAAGCATCAAGTTCCGTGACGGCTGCAAACAGGCGGTTGACATAAAACGGCTCTTGTTAGCGCCACCCTCCAGAGTTAGTCACCAATCACCTCTGGTACTTAAGATGACTAGCTTGACCTTGACCTGCCGTGTGCCTTCTCCGCGACGTGCACGCCTCTGGAGGGATTTGGAGAAGCGATAAACAGAACTTTCTTCATATTTATTTATAGTACGGAACAGTCCATATTAAATTATATAGGTAAATGAAATATTGCACATCTCAATGATTGTACGTTTGACTGATACTTGTAAAAGTAACTAATAAATGAGCGCTATGCTCAGAAGGAACCAACTCCTCGACAGGAGGGTAAAAAGCTTCAAAATAATATTTTGTTTATTTTCCCTTTCATATGAATACACGAAACTACATAACGATAATTTCTTTTGTTTATTTTTACTGATATATTTTATATTAATTTTTAAACAAAGTATCTTCACATCCTTTATTATATGTTTTTCATTTCATATTACAAATGTTTTTTAATATCTTAACAAATTTTAAGAAACAAAAAATACAATATCTTTAAGTTCATATGCGTAACCATATATTTATGTCACGGTTTCAGAGCTGGTGTAAGCGGCCGGATAGCTCAGTCGGTAGAGCCGCGGAACGGTATTTCGAGGGTCCCGGGTTCGAGTCCCAGTCAGGCTGCACATTTTCTCACCCTGTGACATTTGGCGCCCAACGGGGGACCGTGACTGCTTATAGCTCAGAGTTCAATTAGCATTGCTCTGTAGCTTTGTGAAATTCGAGGACGAATTTCAATATTGTGGTGAAGTATGTCACAGTTCAGAGCTGTTTACTATTTAGGGGAGAAGATGTGACATTTATTTTGTCAGACTGTAAGAAATTTAAGAAAAAAGAAAAAACAATTAAAACTTGAATACAAATTTAAACAGTATCCAACAGGTTTCGAACCCGCTACCTTAATTTACTTTCATATTAATAAGCAGTCTTACTTACTGTGCTATACAGTCAAAGGAAGATTACATCACATAAAAATGTAATTTGTATAACCTCAATGTAATTATATATTTGGTTCATCACTTGCAGTAGAGTTAATCTTTTAATGGACTGTGCTGGTATTTTTAGAACTGACAAAAGTTCTGTTTATTACGCTCGGACTATAGCGTCGAAATAATAAGAGTTATAAACCCTAATTAAGAATAATATGGTTTTCTTCAGGCCGTTAATATATAACTTCACCGTGGGCTTTGCACGCTCGCTTATAAATCGAGAGGTCTGGAGTTCAAATCCCAGTTAAGGCAAGTCATTTTTTTTAAATGTTTAAGTCAAATAAACATTGAATTGAATATCAGTGTTGCAATAAGTCGTATAGCCAATTTACTACAGTTAAAACACTGAAAAGCATTGGTGGCACTATACAAAAACAAATTGGTACAAATTCAGCGCCTTCTGTGCTTTGATTTTCATTTGCACGTACCTCGTGTTATAGTGTCATATGACCTTTACCCATGTGCAAAATTGTGATTCGGACGATTAGCTGTTTTCACGTTCGCCGGACTGAAGGTCCACGACAACAACAACAAACAAATTTATTTTTCAGAAGAATATAGGTATATTAAACCTCTTTTGTTTAATATATATGGATATATTTACTCACTTTTTAGCATTCAACATGTATGTAATCTTGAAATCTATCGTGAATGGATATCAAATACACATTTGTTGCTTATGTTTCGGACACTTCTATTTCGGATATTCTACTTTCACATTTTTTAAATAATTATAATCATGAAGTTACTCTATATATGCATTTAAACCATCAACGGAGTATTTTCAACAAGGAAATTCAAATCCCAAAATAGGCTTAAATTCAGATTAGCATTAAAATGATGAATGTTGTGAAATGATTATTATTTAAACCAACATAAAAATGTTAGCCATACAGGCCCATATAGGTAGACAAAACTTCTAGATGTAACAGTATGTGAGTCACATACAACTAGTCTACACACAGATGTTGAGGCTAGCTGAATGTTATTTTTTTTAATCCGGGTCAGCTCGGCCCTAAAACATACTCGGCCCCCGAGTCAGCTCGGCCCTATTCCAACTCGGCACGGGTCAACTCGGCCCACTTTTAAAAATGGGTAAAGGACATCAACGGACTCCTATTGTCACGGGCTATTATTATCAATCAATGTGTATGTTTGTTAAAGATACCGATTAATTAGGTGATAATTATGATTGACTCATTCATTCAAATTTGATTAGTGACCACCTGAAATTAATTAGAAGCTTATATGCTGTTAAGTAAACACGTTTTTGTTTCATATTTTTTTGAAAATTACTTTACAAACAAAATGCATCTAAGGAAACACATTTATATTATATCTATATTCACAGGCACAAGTATCGAAACTGGGAAGAAAAAATATGAAGTTATTTTATCAATCTGTTCATATTTTTTCTTTCCAGGTTCGATAATCGTGCCTGTGTCTATATCAATTTTATCTAATCTGCAAGACAAATAAATTACTTTTCTTTCTAAATATACTTTATTTCCGCAGAGGTACAATGCATAATTATATAATTATAATAAGATATTTCTTATTATTCATTTACCTTTACAACATGCAAAGCAAAGTAAATACGTTATAGGCCTATATATTTTTGTAAAATGGGCCGAGTTGACCCGTGCCGAGTTGGTATAGGGCCGAGTTGACTCTTTTCCATTTTTTTAATAGGTAACCTAAAATAAGAATACATATGCAAACTTGTGTTTCTAAATGAAGATTTTATTGAATATCATGAAAACTTTATCAGTTACTACATAAGAACACTGTCAGGTTTTGACATTAATTAAAGTATGTTGGTCAATTTCCAGTAGCAGTAAGATTATAACAAAATATTTTTAACAATTATAACTTGTCTTGTGTAACAATGTTGGTAGAACGTTATGATATAATGAGCATTACAATTAGGGGTGTAACAATACAGCAAAAACCGTATTGCAATATATTGCCATTTTGCTGAAGCGTATTGCAATATATTGCAATACGTATTGTCGTGTATATGTTTTGATGTAAAGATGAAGTAATATTATATATGATTATTATGTTTATATTTTTAGTAGAAACTTAATGAAAATGTACGGAATAAATAGAAAGTAAAGTGTCACACAATTTGATAAACAAAACTAGTGGCGTGTGACCTTTCACATCTGGGCCGCTTATGTAAATTATGGGGCCGCTTATGACATTTAAGTGTACTAGTTGTCGGATACTTTAATCTTACGTTTGTGCCAACAAAATTCGCCAATTAAAGATTTTATGTGAAATTTGTACAAAATTAGAAGGCAATTAATTGAAAATTATGATTTTTAGCTCACCTGAGCTTGCTCAGGGTGAGCTTTTAGGATCGGTGAATGTCCGTCGTCCGTCCGGCCGTCCACAATTACTTGTGAACACTCTAGCGGTCGCATTTTTGCCTCAATCATCATCAAACTTGGTCAGGATGCTTATCTAGTTGAAAGCTCGGATGAGTTCGAACATGGGTCATCTCGGATGAAAAACTAGGTCACAAGAGCTAAAAATAGAAAAACCTTGTGAACACTCTAGAGGTCACAATTTTGACCCAATCATCATCAAACTTGGTCAGGATGTTTGTCTAGGTGATAGCTTGGATGAGTTCGAACATGGGTCATCTCGGATGAAAAAGTAGGTCACAGGAGCTATAAATAGAAAAACCTTGTGAACACTCTAGTGGTCACATTTTTGAACCAATCATCATCAAACTTGGTCAGAATGCTTGTCTAGTCAATTGCTTGGATGAGTTCGAACATGGGTCATCTCTGATGAAAAAACTAGGTCACAGGAGCTAAAAATAGAAAAACCTTGTGAACACTCTAGTGGTCACATTTTTGACCCAATCATCATCAAACTTTGTCAGGATGCTTGTTTAGATAATAGCTCGGATGAGTTCGAATATGGGTCATCTCGGATGAAAAACTAAGGTCACCGGAGCTATAAATAGAAAAACCTTGTGAACACTCTAGTGGTCACATTTTTGCATCAATCATCATCAAAACTTGGTCAGGATGCTTATCTAGTTGATAGCTTGGATGAGTTCGAACATGGGTCATCTCGGATGAAAAAGTAGGTCACCAGAGCTAAAAATAGAAAAACCTTGTTAACACTTTAGCGGTCACATTTTTGCATCAATCATCATCAAACTTGATCAAGATGCTTGTCTAGGTGATAGCTCGGATGAGTTCGAACATGGGTCATCTCGGATGAAAAACTAGGTCACAGGAGCTAAAAATAGAAAAACCTTGTTAACACTCTAGTGGTCACAATTTTGACTCAATTGTCATCAAACTTGGTCAGGAAACTTGTCTAGGTCATTGCTGGGAATAAATCGAACATGGGACATTTCGGATGAAAAACTAGGTCACAGGAGCTAAAAATAGAAAAAATCTTGTTAACACTCTAGTGGCTACTGTTGTGATCCAAATATTCTGTTAATTGGTCTGAAAGTTTGTTTTGATGATTTCTAAGTCAAGATCGAACATGGGTCATCTTGGATGAAAAACTAGGTCACACCGCCCAAATATGGAAAAAACCTTGTTAACATTCTAGTGGTCACATTTTCGACTCAATTATCATCAAACTTGGTCAGGATGTTTGTCTAGGTAATTGCTTGGATGAGTTCGAAATCGCATGTGAAACTAGGTCACCGGAGCTAAAAATAGAAAAATCTTGTTAACACTCTAGTTGCTACTGTTTTGATCCAAGTATCCTGGAAATTGGTCTGAAAGTTTTTTTTGATGATTTCTAGGTCAAGTTTGAATATGTGTCACCTGGGTAAAAAACTAGGTCGCACTGCTCAAATATGGATAATCCTTGTTAACACTGTAGTGGTCACATTTTTGACTCACCTGTCATGAGACTTGGTCAGAATGCTTGTCTAGGTAATTGTTTGGATGAGTTTGATAATTCAGGTGAGCGATCTAGGGCCATCATGGCCCTCTTGTTATAAAATACCGGTTTTCCAAAAATCGTACCGCGGTACGAAATTTATTTTTTCATATTGCAATTATGAATGTATCGGTATACCGGTAAACCGTTACACCGTTAATTACAAATGAAATCAAAGCACAGAAGGCGCTGAATTTGTTTGGGTCTCAGAATGTCAGAAAGGTGAAGGTTGTGAGATTATTAAACAATTTGTTTTTGTATAGTGCCACCAATGCTTTCCAGGGTTTTAATTGTAGTAAATTCGCTATTAGACTAATTGCAACACTGATATTCAATCCAATGTTTATTTGACTTAAACAAATTTGAAAAAAAAAGAGCTGCCTTAACTGGGATTTGAACTCCAGACCTCTCACTTCCAAAGAGAACGCGCAAACCCCTCGGCCACGGTGAATTTATATGTTAATGGCCTGAAGAAAACCATATTATTCTAAATTAGGTTTTGTAACGACGCTAACTGTTGTTTAACACAGATGTAAATAATCATGGAGCTTACTATAAGCATGTATATCTATAAAGAATAAAACAATACTAGAAATCTTCGACCATTCGGGAATTATTTTGCTTGAAAATTAATGCGCCTGTCATTTGACCATCTTTACGCATTGATCTCCCCTGAATTTTTCGACGTTGGTGTACATATAAAGGGAAGTAACCGCTGCTAAAATGCGGACTACTTTCGGCATTTGCAATTAACAGCTTAGAGTCTGAAATTTCGCTACCATTATTTGTTTGGTCTGAAGACCCAAACAAATAAAAACTGTACAGTACTGTAGATGGTAAATTAACCTTTTCTCTCATATAGGGGGTTTGAAGGGGAATGGTAGTCACCCTCATGGCCAAGAAAATTTTAGTCATGTGACAGGCTAAAAATGGACTCGGGTCGATCTTAGGATAACTAGTAACCAATGCTGAAAAGCCTTTTACTCTATCTCAATTCATTGAGAAGTTGCAGCACTTTGAAATCAGTTTTGATGGAAAAAAACAATGCAAAATAGTAACTTGGCAATTTTGAGACATGCCCCCGTTGTCATGGTAACAGGAAATTTACGATTGAGTATGCTGTTACAGAGGCTATGGTCTAGTCAACATTTATGCCAAGTTTCATCAGTATTGAAGCATTTTTCATAGTTTCATAGCAGTTTGAACTTGTTACAGGAGGCTTTTCAATGAAAACGGTCATTTTTCGCACTATGCTCATGTGGTAAAAGGTTTACATATAAAAAGTCTCCAATATATATAAGGGCATAAACCACAATCGGTAAAAAGCTAGCTTTTCACTGACAGGGTTTGTGTGCCTTAAAACATTACAATTGGTGGCCAGTGTGGGGGGGGATGTAGACAACTGCCAAACAGAAGTTGCCATAGCCACAAATTTCCCAAGCCAAGTCTTGGAACAAAACTTCTCGAAGGGGAAAGTAATGTTACATCGTCAGTAGAGTGTCATATTAATTAAGGTTGTCATTGATGGACAATTTTGTATCTATATATCGAGAGACATAAATCGATGATATATCAATATATCAACTTTAACAGTGGATACAATGAAAAACATTTAAATATGTGTTTTAAATTGGGATCATGCTTGTATTAGTCATCACAAATACTACAAACTAACAGAAAGTTGGTTTTTCTGATATTTTTGTCACTGACATTTGAAAACAGAGTTTAAAGTTCAAGCTAGCCAAGAAAACTTATTATGCAAAATAGAGAGGTATATTCACTAACAGAATAAATAAATTTTAGTGTGTATCAATATTGTATCGGATGATGAAATTGAATATAGCTGATATATAATTATATCGATATTCAATGATAGCCCTAATAATAATCTTAATGAGCATTACAATATGCAAAAACTAAAGGTGGTTAATTAACATATAAAAAAGTATCCCATATATATACATATACCACAAATTCCACAATCGGTAATAAGCTAACTTTTCACCGACAGGGTTTGAGTGCCTTAAAACACTTACAAATACGCAAAATTTACATTGGCTTACAAAAAGTACTTAATTAAAGGTGAATTTGAATTTATTTCTGATACTATCAGAAATAGATTCACCTTAGATCTATCCGATATCTTGTTAGCTCACCTGAGCTTGCTCAGGGTGAGCTTTTAGGATCGGTGAATGTCCGTCGTCCGTCGTCCGTCGTCCGTCCGGCCGTCCACAATTACTTGTGAACACTCTAGCGGTCGCATTTTTGCCTCAATCATCATCAAACTTGGTCAGGATGCTTATCTAGTTGAAAGCTCGGATGAGTTCGAACATGGGTCATCTCGGATGAAAAACTAGGTCACAAGAGCTAAAAATAGAAAAACCTTGTGAACACTCTAGAGGTCACATTTTTGACCCAATCATCATCAAACTTGGTCAGGATGTTTGTCTAGGTGATAGCTCGGATGAGTTTCGAACATGGGTCATCTCGGATGAAAAAGTAGGTCACAGGAGCTATAAATAGAAAAACCTTGTGAACACTCTAGTGGTCACATTTTTGAACCAATCATCATCAAACTTGGTCAGAATGCTTGTCTAGTCAATTGCTTGGATGAGTTCGAACATGGGTCATCTCTGATGAAAAACTAGGTCACAGGAGCTAAAAATAGAAAAACCTTGTGAACACTCTAGTGGTCACATTTTTGACCCAATCATCATCAAACTTTGTCAGGATGCTTGTTTAGATAATAGCTCGGATGAGTTCGAATATGGGTCATCTCGGATGAAAAACTAGGTCACCGGAGCTATAAATAGAAAAACCTTGTGAAACACTCTAGTGGTCACATTTTTGCATCAATCATCATCAAACTTGGTCAGGATGCTTATCTAGTTGATAGCTTGGATGAGTTCGAACATGGGTCATCTCGGATGAAAAAGTAGGTCACCAGAGCTAAAAATAGAAAAACCTTGTTAACACTTTAGCGGTCACATTTTTGCATCAATCATCATCAAACTTGATCAAGATGCTTGTCTAGGTGATAGCTCGGATGAGTTCGAACATGGGTCATCTCGGATGAAAAAGTAGGTCACCGGAGCTAAAAAAGAAAAGCCTTGTTAACACTCTAGTGGTCACAATTTTGACTCAATTGTCATCAAACTTGGTCAGGAAACTTGTCTAGGTCATTGCTGGGAATAAATCGAACATGGGACATTTCGGATGAAAAACTAGGTCACAGGAGCTAAAAATAGAAAAAATCTTGTTAACACTCTAGTGGCTACTGTTGTGATCCAAATATTCTGTTAATTGGTCTGAAAGTTTGTTTTGATGATTTCTAAGTCAAGATCGAACATGGGTCATCTTGGATGAAAAACTAGGTCACACCGCCCAAATATGGAAAAACCTTGTTAACATTCTAGTGGTCACATTTTCGACTCAATTATCATCAAACTTGGTCAGGATGTTTGTCTAGGTAATTGCTTGGATGAGTTCGAAATCGCATGTGAAACTAGGTCACCGGAGCTAAAAATAGAAAAATCTTGTTAACACTCTAGTTGCTACTATTTTGATCCAAGTATCCTGGAAATTGGTCTGAAAGTTTGTTTTTGATGATTTCTAGGTCAAGTTTGAATATGTGTCACCTGGGGTAAAAAAACTAGGTCGCACTGCTCAAATATGGATAATCCTTGTTAACACTGTAGTGGTCACATTTTTGACTCACCTGTCATGAGACTTGGTCAGAATGCTTGTCTAGGTAATTGTTTGGATGAGTTTGATAATTCAGGTGAGCGATCTAGGGCCATCATGGCCCTCTTGTTATAATATAAATGGCCGAATATCCTCTGAAAATTTATTTAGAAAAAATATATGTTAACATTCTTTGTGAAAATGTAAATTCTGTTTGATCAAATCACCAAATTAAACTTTAATGAACCTGTTTTCTGATATGTCTAATTCTCAATCCAAAATCTAACAAACCGGTGCAGCAGATTGTTCCCCTTTATTTTTGTATGGAGTATTTTCATTGGTCATGTGAAACCTCAGGAAATACTCTCAAAAATCCTCTTGTTATAAGGTCAGGAAGGAAGATATTTTAGCATTTTATAGTGGATCTCTACAAAATTGACCTTGTTCTAATGATTTATAAAGTTTCAGTCACAAGGTTTGGTTATCAAAAAATCTTCTCCACTTAAAGCATAAGGCTAAGAGCTTAGATAATATGGTGGTTGGCTTTGTCAGAGATAACTTCTAGTTAGTTTTAGAGTTTACACCCATTAAACTTTTATTTAGTAAAATTAGTTTGGTCATTTGCAATTGATTTCAGGTGAGCAATCTTTATCCATCATGGCTCTCCTGTCTAGAAAAGGACAGCTTTCAATCATACCAGAGTTAAAAGTCGCCATTGAAAATAAACTTGGAATTGATTTAGAGGTCTGTGTGAGTGGTTGAAACAATAATAACTTGAAGTGAATGATGATGCTTGTTTTTATTGTAATCATTCCAATTATATTTTTTTCTGAATTCTTTCTTTCAGAACAAGAACTGTAAAGGATGGCATCCCCAGACAGTCTAGTTGACGCGGGTCTGGCAACAGTTGCTGCAGAATATGAAATATCTATGACAAAAAATGAAGATGGGAAACAAATAATGCACAGTCGTAAACAGAACATTACTGTAGGCAGTGTGTATAGGGAAGATGGAACTGTCGAAATTGAATCAACACAAGATGATGATGATGATGATATGAATGGTAAGAAAGGGACTGATGAAGGCATGTATTATATCTGTCAAGTGTGCGGGAAGACATTTGACTATAAACACGAAATTGAGCAACACTTGGTTAAACAGGAATGTAAGGGAATGGAAAAGGAGGTGAAAGAAATGTACGAGTGTGGAGAATGTAAAACACTTTGCTCTTCAATGAATAGTCTAGCTTCCCATATGATGGTACATAAGCAGAAAGTTGTGGTTGTTCGACATGGACTAAATGAGCATCTTTCAAGAGTTGGTTACACGTGTACCATATGTCATAAAGTTCTGGGAAGTAAAGGAAACTTGGCAAAACACCAGATCATTCACATGGGAGTGAAGCCTTATAAATGTAGTTTTTGTGTGAAAGAGTTTTCTTTGAAAGGTAACCGTGACAAGCATGAACTTATTCACACAGACAAGCGAGCGCACCAGTGTCAGATTTGTTCCAAAAGATTTACTCTAAAAGGTAATCTACAACAACACATACTGACACATTCAACAGTGAAATTTTTCCGATGTTACCTCTGCGAGAAAGAGTTTACCTTAAAGGGGAATCTAGACAAACACATCAAAAGACATGCAAATGGTCTTCCCGTTCAAAAAGGGAGTTATGCTAATAAAGGCGAGATGATTGTTTGTAAAAGACCCGTGATTGGTCCGGAGAGTAGTGAAGCTGATAAACAAACGGCTGCAGGGCCAATGGGGAGCTTTCATTTCAAAATTGGTGGGTTAATAGGTAGTCTAAAGGCAAAGTTGGAAAACTCTATCATGAGTACAGAAGGTTTTGATGAACTTGCGAAGGGAGAGGCGATCAAACAGTTAGCAAGGGAAGTAACTGTTGGGACAAGTGATATTGTAGAGGATGTTGCAGCTACTGAAGAGAACAAAAGTAATGAGCAGGAAAATATTGTTCAAAATTTGTAAAAAAAACAATGTTGTTTTGAATATATCAATTGTGTCTTGTAGTTTAATTGTTATAAATATGTTAAAATCTTGCAATGTTTCTTGATAAGTTATCTAAGTTGTTACATCAATGTAATAGGTTACATTCTCGTAACCTTTAAAATGCTAAATATCTATAAAGGCATTGTCCGTCTTTAAGTCTTGACAAAATTATTCATCATTTTTAGAGGAAAATTTATAAAATACATCTGTTACAGTGTATGTACTCTCTGAATTGCGGACCATAAAATCAGACGTTGTTCCCATGCCAGCTGATTTTGGTCTGCACTGCTTCCATTGGTAAAGTCTATTGCCAACAGTAGACTAATAGTTAATTTGATTAAAGTTCACACTATCTTAATCTCATGAATTTTTTGTTTAATTATAGTTTATACAAGCATTTCTTTTTGCATGCATTATGATTTTTCTCGTGATAAAAAAAGATAACAAATTTATCTGAAGCTTTTGTGAATGATTTGTTTATAAATAGGTACAGGGTGTCAGAAAATGCTTAGAATGTTTTTAGGGACATGGTTTTTAGTTTATTACATGTAACTTGTTTTTGAGAACTATTGAATGAAATGTTTAACTACATTATTACATTGATATGTAGATATATTATACACATGTATATTGAAAACAGGAATTTTGATTTGAATTGTTATATATATTCATATCTGTGTTGTAAGATCAATACTGTACATGTATATCACGTTATTGTTTGGTGCAGCAAATCAATATTTTGGCATTAAACTAATTTTAGATAATCTAATTTAAGTGATTTTGTTGTACATGTTTCTATTTTTTGCATTTATCTGCTGACAAAGCGAATTTATTTGTCTTGAGTTTTGTCTAAGGAATTTAAAATATGATGGAATATGGTAGAATATGCATTCACAAGGAAAAATATCTGTCCTACTCGGAATATCAGTCCGTCGGGAATGGGGGTGGGTGGGTTCCCAAGAGACTGATATTCCGATCCGAACCGCAAACATGACAGGTATTATTAATTGTTAAAAAATGTTTTCTTTATTGACAAAGGTTTTCTCATTTCATTATATTATAAAGTGAATGTCAAAAACTTGAAGTGAATGTTTGGTAAAAACTGGGGATGGGGAATTTATACTTCTTCAAAGCAAAACTTATATAATTATTAATCACAAAATAAATAAGTGGTTATTCATCTTTTATTAAGGGATGGTCATAGATGTAAATTGGAGTACTTGTGGTGCACTTCTTTATTCTTTAGCTAGTTTGTTTCTATGGCTGCAGAGTCATCGTTGCAATGCAAAAACTTAATGTACATAATAATTTAATGTAGCAAATACAAGGGGAATTATTCTGAAAGCAATAATTTTTGTCATGCCCCTTTTTAACTCAGAAATTATACAGACGAGTGTTAACAGCTTGTTTATTTAACTAGATATTATCAATATAAAAACAGTTGTATTGACTTCATTATACATGTATATCTGTAATCATAAAGTAACATACACATTATATGATACATTTTTCTTGTTATCAAATATTTGAGATGTTAAAATAATCTTGTTTATATAACATCATTATGTTATCATATGTTTTATTGTTGCACTGTAACAGATGAATTCAGGTCTGGATTGTTAAGAAAGTCTCAAATTTATGTTGAAATGGGCTTTTTGCTATTTTTGTGTTTGGAATGTTTGGGGATTTGTTTTTTTGTTTTTTTTTGTTCTTTTTTTTACTTACTAGATCTACTGTATTGCTAGAAATTCTTTTACGCTTATTAAGTTAGCGCTTTTTGCGGTGAATATATTTCTGCAAATGTTTATATCCACGAAAAAGTTGCATGTAACAATTCCGCGAACATTTGTATCTTCAACCACTTAAATTATCATTATGTCATTATGAAGTACTATGATGTAGTATGCATATGACAGAATGGTATCCTATGTCTTATTGTTTGATTTTATTAACCTGTCAATTCCATACTCATTATACGGTCAATGCACAGAATATATTAATATTCGATAAATGTTCGGTAAATTCCGTGAGAGGTACGCAGTAAGATGTGATTAAATTCATCTAGTTTCTATAAACTAGCTACACTCACCGTAATAGCGCAATAGGGTAAACCACTGGTATGATATCAAAATGTCTTACATGTTGTAAGCTCGAGACAGTGTATGTCCAGGGTTTTTTTCTTATTCATTATTATTTTCAAAATTTTTGAAGTTATGGTTGTTCTATTTTAATATGTTATGCACTCTTTTCTAAATACTATGTTTAAGTTTGATACTGAAAATTCATTCGGATTACAAAATGTGAAATTTCAGTGTTTCTTTTAGTTGTTTCATATCCGTGTAGAAAATTTGCAAGCGCTTGGCCATTTTCTTTAAAATATACCTAAAAATAAAGACAGAATAAATCTAAAAAGAATGTCAAAAGAAGGGATCGAACCCCGAACCTCTCATACAAAAGGTAATTACTTAACCAACTGTGCTATTGCAGATGTAACGAGAACTAACATTAAGCTAGTGGGAGTTTTCCAAACGTTAGTGAAATACTCCATATTAATTCTCGTAAAATAAACGGACAAAACCGAAGTGGGGTCGAATATTTAAATGAGTGCTATAATGTATTCATTATTGACAGGTCAATAAAATCAGACTATACATATAGATTGTTTATAGGTAAAATTTAAAGATTTTTTCGTATGTCTGGCAGGTATAGAGAAACGTAATTGTGATATAAGTAAAATATATGCTTTTTACCCCCAGCAACTTAACATTTGCCAAATTCCAGCCACTTTTATTGCAAGAAAATTTGTCTTCAAAAACGCCATCCTTCTGAAAAACGCGAAATATTGTTTCCGCAAAAGTTTCTAGGAATACAGTATCCATTTCTTTAAAGCAGCACGCATTCAAATTCATGCTTATTTCCATGAAAAGGTACATTTATAAAAGTAAAATATTATGAAGTGAAAAAAGAAACTAATTAATATTCACATTGTAAAGGGCATGTACAATCCAAGTTAAAGAGGTCAACGTATTCAAAAACCTCACAGCATTAGTCCAGCAGAAGAAATATGGTGATAAATACTACAACTTCAGTTGTTAGTCTCACAAAACATGCAAATTATTACTTGAATCCTAAATCTTTAAACTTTTCTTAAAATCTTTGGACAATTTTTATCAAGTTTTTTTTTCTTGAAATATTTTAGGCATGCAGGTTTAACAAAATTTATGCTATATAGTATTGTATATAATTGTTCTGTGATTAGTGAAACAAATAAATTAAGACATATATTTTGATGAAAAAGTCTGGAGCAGTTTGATAAATCTGTAAAAGTGCTCTTTATTTTATTTATTTTTCCTTTTCTTTTTTTTTTAGGGAAGGTGGTTTCTTTTTCTTGGGGCTCCTTTATTCTATTGTAGGGATTTGTTATTTGGTTTTTAAATTTTCTTTTTTTGTAAATAATATTGACAGTTCTGTTACAAACGTATGACATGCACTTTTCACAGTTCAAAAAATGCCATGACGCAATACCAGGTATTATGAGCATGAGAGAAATAAAACACACTGTCTATCTACACCCCTTTATATTTGTCAAATGTTTCTCTGAGGTGTGAAGTAATGGTAGTGTATTCACTTTGCTGCGTTGGGAGCCTAACATTACTTGAGAAAATTGAAAATTAATAATCCACCCATTTCAATAAGTGTGTAGCTGACGTACAGCTGACAAATATTACAGTGTGTAGATGTATATATGTCTGCTATTTGTTACTTCAACTTTTTATACCTCTATAAACTACTATAGTTTACAGTTTTTTAAGCAAGGATATATAAGTTAAATTTTACACATCATTGTCGTGCAACAGTCATTGTCACACAAAAAATCTTATGATTTATAATCTTAAGTCATTTTAACAAAGTCCCTTGTACGGTAAAATGATACCTTAGAATAAAATTCACTTATTAGAAACTTCAGTAGCAATGTTCATTCATTTTTGGTGCGCATGCTCAATATCTGGTCTTAAAATTGTTGGAATATTTGTGAAAAGGAGATTTATCATAAGATTTTAATTACGATAAAGATTATAAATTTGTCTATTTGTCTTAAGATTTTTTGTGGAAAGTGCTTCATGACTGTAAGTTTTTCATTCCATTGTTTGCAGCGATTGTACTGGAATAAAAAGCTACGTTATGTTGAATTTTATTTTAACTTTTTTTTTATTTCATTAATATGAAATGTTGATACACTGTATGCATACCAAGAAATGTATGTGTCATCTGCTAATTGTAATGTATGACATTGTCTTATGAAGGAATAAACACACAAGATATATTCAGTTTTAATAGTGAACAATGAAATTAATAATTATGCATCTTTGAAGTGTTTTTTTTTTCCAGAGAATTTAGAATTTTATCTGTGTCAATTGTTTTCACAAGATATTTAGTGTTTGTAACATAGCTGTAAGTAAATAAACTGTTATACTGTTCCATAGAAGTCATATGTTTATCATTTCTATTGAAACTTTTTGGCAAAATGTGCACAAAATAAATTTACAAATATTGGAATGATTTTTTGTTTTAGTGAATTCCCGGTCACTATTTAAGTTAATTGTTAATATCCAGTTTTCTGAGCCATGTTTTCCTTACAGTAATTCTTTATCTTAATTATATTCTTGAATTAGTTCTACTCTAAGACTGATTCTTGATCATAGTTCTATACTGAGACTTATTCTCCATCTTAGTAACAACTTTTAAACTAAGTCTTTCCATCAGGTCTATTTTAGCTCGGCTATACGAAGTATATGGAGAGCTGTCCTACTCCACCAGGCATCCGCGTCCAGATTTCAGATTAAAGTTTTGGTGCAGTAAAATATTTTTCACTATAACTTTGTCATTTCGTAAGATATCAACTTCAAACTTCAAATATATGTTCCTTATCATCAACCACATCTTACGTGACAAGGTTCATAACTCTAGCACCAATATTTTCAGATTAATCTCCCCTTAAACTTAGAATTTTCCTTAAAAAATACTATTTTTTACTGTTACTTCTTTATTTCTTAAGGGATAAACTTCATACTTCAAATATATGTTCTTTATCATCAACCACATCATATGTGACAAGGTTCATAACTCTAGCACCAATATTTTCAGATTTATCTCCCCTTCAACTTAGAATTTTCCTTAAAAAATAATTTTTACTGTTACTTCTTTATTTCTTAAGAGATCAACTTCATACTTCAAATATATGTACCATATCATCATTCACATCTTATGTGACAAGGTTCATAACTCTAGCACCAATATTTTCAGATTAATCTCCCCTTGAACTTAGAATTTTCCTTAAAAAATACTATTTTTTACTATTACTTCTTTATTTCTTAAGGGATAAACTTCATACTTCAAATATATGTTCTTTATCATCAACCAAATCATATGTGATAAGGTTCATAACTCTAGCACCAATATTTTTAGATTTATCTCCCCTTGAACTTAGAATTTTCCTTAAACAAAAATTTTTACTGTTACTTATTTATTTTGCTAAGGTATCAACTTCATACTTCAAATATATGTACCTTATCATTAACCACATGTTATGTGTTAAGGTTCATAACTCTAGCACCAATATTGCAAGAATTATCTCCCCATAAACTTAGATTTTTTTTACTTAAAAAATGTTATTTTTTACTTAAACTTTTTTAGTTTTAAATGTTTCTACCTCAAACTTCAAATACTTATTCCTTATCATCAATTACATTTTATGTGATAAGGTTCATAACTCTTGAAGCAATATTTTTAGCTTTATCTCTCTTTGAACTTAGGATTTTCTTTAAGAAATATTATAACTTCTTTACTTTTTAAGGTATATACTTCAAACTTCAAATATATATTTCTTATCATTACACACATGTTATGTGACAAGGTTCATAACTCTAGCATGACTCTTTCCAGAATTATTCCCCTTGATCTTGGAATTTATGTTAACAATGTTATTTTTTTACTATTACTTAATACAGAATTATACATAATTGATTTTTCTTCATAGTTTTGTATTTCTTACTGCGTCTAGTATTTTATTAGTCGAGCTTCGCTGTCTCCTGTTTCAGTTCTTGTTAGCTCACCTGTCACAAAGTGTCCGTCCGTAAACTTTTACTTTAAACAACATTTTCTTATAAACCGCTTTAACAATATCATCCAAACTTCACAGGAATGTTCCTTTGGTAGTCAACTTTAAAAATTGTTCAAAGAATTAAATTCCATGCAGAACTCTGGTTGCCATGGCAACAAAAGAAAAAACTTAAAAAATCTTCTTTTTTTAAAAAACCAAAAGAGCTAGAGCTTAAATATTTGGCATGAAACATCATCTAGTCAGTGTCTACCAAGTTTGTTCAAATAAAAGCCTTGGGTCAAAATTGGCCCTGCACCCGGGGGGACCATTGATTTTCCTTATATGTACATGTATATAGTAAAAACTTAAAAAATGTTCTTTTAAAAAAAAACAAATAGCTAGAGCTTAGATATTAAGCATGAAACATCTTCTAGTGGGTGTCTACCAAGTTTGTCCAAATAATAGCCCTGGGGTTAAAATTAGCCCCGCCCCAGGGGTCATTGTTTTTCCCTTGATGTATATAGTAAACACTTAAAAAATCTTCTTTTTAGAAATCCTCAGAGCTAGAGCTAAGATATTTTGCATGAAACACCTTCTAATGAGTGTCTTCCAAGTTTGTTTAAATTAAAGCCCTGGGGTCAAAATTTACCCGGCCAGGGTGGGGTGGGGGGTCATTCTTTTTCTCCTATATGTGTATAGTAAAAACTTAAAAATATTTCTTTTAAAAACCCCTGAGAGCTAAAGCTAAGATATTTATCATGAAACATCTTTTAATGGGTGTTTACCAAGTTTGTTCAAATAAAAGCCCCTTGGCTAAACTTGGCCTCACCTTGGGAGCCTATATACAGGTGAGCGATCTCAGGGCCATCATGGCCCTTTTGTTAGACTTATTTTTCACTTAAGTTTATTATTCCCCTTTGATCAATTCTTACTTTAGTTAAACTCTTATTCTAAAGTCAAATTCGTCCCTTAATTTTATTCTTAGACTCATTCTTTCTCCTAGTTCTGCTTTTAGACATACTAATTCTTCCCCCTTAATATACTCTAAGACTTATTTTACCCCTGCTACTCTTAGACTTATTCTTTACCTTGACTTTCTCTTAGTATCTATTCTTCCCCAACTTCCACTCTTAGACTAAGTCTTCATCTTGACTACTCTTAGTCTTATTCTTCACACTAATTGTATTCTTTGACTTAAAACAAACGTTTGACTTAACCATGTCTGGAAGTATTAAAACTTTTTCTGAGTTCTATACCAGTCTCAGGATTTTCTTTGGTCCATGTATATTTGGGCTTAAAAAATAAGGAATGTGGAAATCAAAACTGCAACTTGGAAGTTCTGTAGATTTATCACTTTTAATAATGAGTTAACAGTGTAAGAATGTTTGATGTTAAAATTGATGGTACATGCATACATGTATAAGATACTTGTTTTGTTGATCCATATTTGAAGGGCTGATTTGTGTACATGTATTATATGACCGTAGGATCAAAAGATTATGCACCAAAAGTTTTACCGTTTATAAAATTTATGAAACTATTTCATTAGATATAGCTTTATACACATAAAGGCACATTACTTTGCACCTCTGTAGAACAATTTATTTACAATATAGCCAGGTGAGTTCCTTGCATAAAACATTGAATATGCTGGTCCAGTGTGAGTCATGTGATACAAAGCATCAGAACACAGATTGCAACACTCAGCACTAACCAGATCATCCCTGGAACCCATATACTGTTACTCGGGTTTAGTGTTCAAGGAAACTTTGTTGAAAATATATAAATCTGAAAACAAGTTTCTTGAGTGTTTATTAAATGAATCACTGTAATATCATGTAACCAAGATAAAAGTCCAGAATTACGAACACGCGTAAATATTACAGACTGGTCTTTGTCTTCTAAAAAGTCTGAAAGCAACAGAATACCCCCAAAGTAGTACTATTATTTCTTTTATAAATCTATTAGCGTTCTCCTTTGTCGTCGCTATGTGAATTTTCCGACGAAACAGAAATAATAGGTACTCACGAAAAATGTTGCACACATTCTAAATTCATGAATTTTGTTAAAATTTCATTTTCAAGGATAATAATCCGATGATCTAAGTATTCAATATTATTTTTGACATTTGCTTTACTACAAGATTAATTACTGATGGGTTTAGGGGAGCATTGGATAGAACTGTTTCTATCATTGAAATATTATATCCTTAAGTCTGCTGGCACTGAATATACCGGCCATGCAATTAGTGCAGACTCAAATCGTCCGGAACATCCGTGTCGTCTGCTTTGTCCGCTATCCAGTCGGAACATATTTTGAAATTTTCCCTGAAAATGATAAATGGTTTTGTCCAGATTGAAAGATGGACAAGTTTAACATATGTAGCAAGGTAGGGATAAACAAGCGACATAACAACGGATTGTCTAGCTGTAGAAAGGGGGAATAACTGATAACATGAGTCATCACAATTTATGAAACTATATCACATTTATTTGAAAATAAAGCACTTTTGAAATGGTAGAATACATGTACATTGCAAGGTGTTCAGGTAAAAAATAACAATAAACAAAAAGTTAAACAAATAATAAAAATAAAAAAGAACATAAAAAGTTAGGTATGCACTAAGTAAGTCTTTTTGTGATGTTAAACATTTATAAATAAAAAATGATGATAAAAAAGATTGTTATTCAGTTTTGTTCAACAAATCGGTAGGTGATTGAATTATAAAAAAATACTTACTTTAATAAAATAAAAATATTAAAAAAGGTGCATAGTTATATTTATACAGATAAAAGAAAACATGGCCAGCAAATGTTAACAATCGCTTTTGACTAGAATATTTACAGTGGTTCACTTACATCGGATGTGCACATGGGAGCTAATACAAAACGTACTGTACTAAAATCGATACAGCATTTGTCTCCCTTGATCCATTTCGTTGTTATTTTACACATAGTTTGCATAGCATTCATTATTGAATAAGTAAACAAACATAAATATAACATATGAACATATTTTTTTGCATAAACTGTCATATTTAATTTTAGAATAATGTGAAAATATCTGCAAAGCCAATACGAATGCAAGCACAGACACAATTTAAGAATGTTATCCAAATTTAATACATGTACCAGATCAAGTATTTATGTCTTGTCTTACTTATAATTTTAATAAATTAGAACTGAGAAAAACTTTCTAGAAAAGAAATAAATAAAACAATTAACGTATTCAGTTCTAAGAATGGTATATACCTTATTTCTGAAGTAACATTTAATTTTATCATATAACAAGACCTTAAAATGTTCTTGTTTTCACATTTTGTAGTTACTTTATAATAATAATTGTGTAAGCAACGCCTGTATCGAAGTATAAATGGACTTTAAAATTGAATAACTTAATAAGGTCAGGGTATGCATTATATACATTCTTGATTACATACAATTCTTAGTTTAATTCGTAAACCCTTCATATATATTTAATAAAGTCTGGAAAAAAAACCAGTTAAATAATCATTTGAAAATATAAAGAAAAACCCCTTAAAACTAATTTGATAACAACGTATTTTGGAGTTCAATCATTAATGCGTGATACATCACATATGTTCCAATAAATTTCAGTTCGACTTTGTTTCACTCCATGCGATCTGTAGACTTTAACTACAAAATTGTTTCAAAATGGCTTGCTCGCCTTTTTAAAAGAAAAAAAAATGATTTTTTTTCTCCACAAATTATTTGATATTAAATTATGTACGTCATTGCCCCTATTATGACATAAAAAAACGTTCATTAGATTTAGATACACGTACAGATATGATATGTTTCTCATGGCAACAAAAACAATATAATAAGTGAAAATATTCTGAGCAAAGATTTGTTTTATATATCTATAAAAAAAACATGGTTAAATGCGTTTTTATTTTAATTCTATTTCATGTAAAAGATAAATAATTATACAGATTTCACATAACACTGCGAGTGAAGAATTATCTGCTCGGTTGTCTACAAACAAAAGATTTAAATATATTGATATGCCTTTCTACTTTGAATAAATTAAAAACTGTTTTATGAACGTAAACAATTTTTTGAAAGATATTTCTTTTTATAAAAAGCGACAACAGCAAAAAATGTAAATCCATTTGAAAACCGAATTTCAGTTAAAATAACACTATGTTTCCATTTCGTCCCTCGGATATTTACAAGTAACGTTTTATAAGTATCCCTCTGGAATGTTTCAAATGTATTATAAACAAAATTTACATACATAGTTATTGCACTTTAACTTATTTCAGCTTAGAAACATTGACGTCAATACGCTATTTCTGAGCCCCACGGTCTGTATGGTTTTACTGAGCCAAGTTGGTTCAAATTTCCCGCTGCCGCGTTGTATGATTGTGCGCTGTTTGGTGACATCATTGAGTTCATATTAAGCATAGGAAACTGTGAGTGAATCTGCTGATTAAGCAATGATGATTGTCCAGAGTTTGACGTCATCGACGTCATGTGACTGTGTGTGCCCATTGTCGGTGGCGGAGGAATCCTCATGGAATTATGTAAAGAATTTTCTGATTGGCTAATTCGCGAATCACTGAATGTTACTGAAGGTACTCCCGGGAGAGAATCATGGGAAGACATAGTAAGCTGGTCTGATTGGCCGGAATGTGACTGAAGCATAGTTGTCATGGAAGACATTCCATTTCCGGAATATTGATTTGAATTTAACGAGTTCATAGACGGATGTGACGTCATCGAGTTCCAAGTTGAGTTTTGAAAAGATGATTTAACAGAAGGCATTCGTTGCGTTGCAAAGCATTGCAAGTGACTGAGGAGACGTAACCGTAGTGGATCCTGTAAATCCATGCCTTCAACTGTCATGAGGTAACGAGCAACTTCCGCCAAACATTCCCGGAAACCAATACTTCTGTAATCCAAAGCGAGACCATGAGGATCAGGAAAATTGTAACCATTAACACCTGAAATTAGAAATGTTATTTGTACAGAATAACTTATGCGTTAATAACACACATGAGGCTACGTTATATATGAATTATATATTATTTGGTTTATTTAATACATATTAGACACCATGTACGTCGTCTTAATTGATTTTCGGTATCTTTTCAACAACAATTATTTACATACTGTAATAATGAAAAATTGCTATAAAATTATTCCACGGTCAAACACTATTTTCTATCGATATAGTAAATATTTTGGACAACTGTTCATCACGAAGACAAAGGTTTTCATGGTAAAATTAATGTACCATGAAAAAATGAGACGGTTTCCGGTGGCCCGTATTTTTGAACAAGCACCGCAAAGCATACTGTATATCAGCGTGTGAAAAAGGGAAGGTAACATTTAATCTGGTTCAAAAGTCAATTTTTGTAAAGATTTGAAATGAAGAAACTTGTATACAGCAAAGTTTTATTATTATTTTCATTAATTTATTTGTAAAGACAAAAAATCGTCTTTGAAATTATAGACATTGAGGGTTTATAGTGTAATAAAACATGCCTGAAACTTTCTGTTTTACAACATTTTTGTTAATTTTCCCAGTATTGTACCAAAAATGGCAGAACGGAATATTGTAAGTTATTCACAATTCAAAATTTTTTGTAAAGAATCCACCAAAACATCAAATAAATTGTTCCTTATGTATATTGCCACCTTCGATACATAGCTCATTATATTTGCCAACATTTGCGCCAGGTAAATTTTATAACTCTTTTCTAAATAATAATAATAACATTTTTCGTTTACGATTTTTACTGAATAATTCTGTCTTTTTGAGAATTTAATAACATTATTAACAAAGTTAACATAAGAAACCTAGCAAATGTAAAACGTTCTAATGCCGTGATTTATTCATTTTTTCCGTGTGAATAATTTAATAAATATATATTTAATGTATATTTACCTTTTGAATGGAGCATTTTCAGATGATCTACAGTCATTTGTAATATTTCCGCTTTCTCTAATTTAGCTGACCCCTGTTTCTCAAATGCCGACGGTACAAGTCGCCGGAGCTCTGAAAGACTGTTGTTTATTCTATCCCGACGACGTTTCTCTATAACCTGTTTAATGACAAGGCAAAAATAAGGTTGTATTAAGATATTTGAATTACATATAAATTAAGTTGTAAGTTTCCTTAAGGTTCAAAATTTGAACTATGAATTTGTTCATACCACATGTGAACTTGTAAACTAATTCTGCAAATAATAAAAATTTAAACTAATTTTGTACATATCGTCTTAACGCCTTAATGTAAAAATTATGCTACGTACGAGTACAGAGTTATTTAAGAGAAAAAGTTCATCTCAAAAGTAATAGTATAAGCAGATGTTAGAAAGCCAAAGTTAAAACTTTAAAACTAATTTTATGTAATATTTTACACGAGAATAGCGTGCTTACCCCTCGTCTTTTCTTTCTGTCCGTAATCTGACAACTTTGTGAAGGTGATCTGTAAGAAATAAAACACAATGAAATTATAAAAAAAATCCACATTTTTAAACAAAATAAAGAAATAACCTAACTTAAGTCACCTTGTCTTAGCATATATCACGGAAATTGTACTTTTTTGTGTCAGAAATCGAGGACATGGATGTGGCCATGCATAAAAAGGTTGGTCATATCTAAATGTAATGCATAAAATTAATTTGACATTTTTACATAGCCAAACATGTATATATATTTGATAATAATTGAGTGTTTAAAAATTGAATATCACAATTAAAGAGAATAACATGCCGAAATTTAATATTTCTAATTTACACGGAAAATCATTTTCAAGTAATCTGGACGAAATATCCTTCTACTGGCCTAGTGGATAATGTACATGTACTATCAAATAAAGTTTGAATCTGTTACGAGCCAGTAATGACATATTGACAGTATCATCATTTTCACAGTCATCAACACTGTTATAATGATGGCATTTAAATTTTGTTTCAATTTCGTTCGTTATAATCGGTGTTTAGTCGAACAAGATGTGGAAATTAGTGGTTGAAATGCGGTGTCAAGTTGATTAAATCATTCAAATACGTGTTATATTATCATATCAACTACCATAACAACATCTGGATTTTGTTCAAACTAATCTTGCATTCAGCGTAATTTCTGATTATTTCTTGATAAAAGGTGTTTGAAATTATAACTTCTGTTTCCCGGATAATCATTGTTTATTTCATATAATATGGTAACGTAACATTGCATATGAATAAATTTATGTACACTAATTATCATGGAATAAAACTCATTTTAAAACGGGTAATTTTAATATGACATGTTTATTTTATTAGCACATGTTATTGTGTTAATAAAACTATCAATTCAAATGAAAAATATAAATATGTGAAAGTAATACAAACATCTTTTTGTTGATGAAAAAAAGATAAAAATAAATAAATAAATCGTGGTACAAGTTTTTTTCGTCAATAGTTATCTTTAAAATTATTCTTAATATTATTTTCTTATAGTTTGCAGATGTTATTACATGTATCATTCTTCAATAACTATGTGAACAAATTATCATTTATGAACTGCTATATATAGAATAGTGTTCGTATCAATTTATATAACCATGCTTCATTATAATAAATATTCACGTGCACAAACCATGCACGTGCAGGATTAAGTATCTACATACGTAGATGCAAACCGTCTAGAGTAATGACTCGTGCACGACCCGTGCATGACCAAAAACAGGCACAAGTTAAGTCAAACTTACCCTGACTTCAACCTCTCGTCAAAATCATCATCATCATCACTATGGCTTAAACTGCGTTTCATTATGGTTAAGTCCTTTTTTCCCAAACGGAAAGACGTTGCGGTGATTAACAAAAATTGTTAAATAAAAAATATATCCGGCTCGTGACCACTTATCCGGTATCCGTTAGTAGCACCTTTCCTGACCAACGGTCTTAAACACGACTGACACGAGGTACAACGTTCTCCAGAATTAAAGCATCCCCAGTCCCAGCATCTGAACCCGCCCCTCTGTTGTTAATTTTCAATTACACTGCAGACGACAAGACGCTGGTATTATTTAATTGGCTGAGAGCGCTTGAACACACGCGCGTTCATTGGTTCTATAAGATTTCCCGCACTTCTCATGCAGACGCTCTTTTGGCAACTAATCGATATGTCGATACCGTTGACATTGGTTAAAATCGATATTTACAGTGTATCACGCACGCCGAGTCAGTTTGTGACACTGGTCAATGAATTTTAATTTTAATAAAGCCGATATTTAAAAACGATTCTTAGTAAACTTTTGAAACTCGTTCTGAGTTAAAGTTAAAAATTTGCAGACGAAATGTAGATTGTGCACAGCGCGTGATGAACACGCGCGGACCGTGGGAACAGCAGACGAAATATTTTAACTGATATTTTACCCACGGTCGTTTGGTCGTGTGTTTCGACTGCTCCCGTGTGAAATTTATCCAAATAAATGAGAAGTTGGTGTATAGTATCTAATCAAAGGCAATAATCTAGCGGAAATGAGTGATATGTACAGACTTATTGAGCAAGTGGCCAAAAAGAAAATGTTAACCTAGCGAAATTTGTTCAAACATTGTAATGTTTATTTTAAGTCCAGTTATATTATAAATATATATTTCAAAGTTCCAACGGAATCTGTTTAATTTAAAAATAAAAATAATAAAAAGTTCAGTACACACTATAGTCAAATTTGCATCACTTATAATATAACATAAAGGGTTAATGAGTTATTGTCTTTTTAACATCAACAAATGCTGCCAGAAAGTAATCTAAAACACTGAAAACTTTTTTTTAATAAATAAACATTGTATATTCTTTTTACCCTTCATTCTAGTGTTATTTTTAACCTTTTGAGCGTTAATTTAGTCTTAAACTTCAATACCCCTATATTTCACGATGTGGTCCCTATGTTAAGATATATTTATTGCTAAACAAACGTGTTTTCTTCGCTCGTGTGAAATCAATCGAATAACAGGGGAGCGCTTTGAAAAGTATAAAAATAACAACCGACCGTTTTCAATTCCCACGGTTTTGAATTGTTTATTTATTTTTAGACAAACAAGCGTTTGCATAGAATTTGACCTTTTTAAGCACAGCCTATTGAGTACAAAATACAGTAAACATAGTGAATAAGGGGAGATCGTGACCTTAAGTTACAGTCCTTAATGTTATCAAGATGTCGTCTGCAGATGTCGTAAACTATTACATAGATGATTACCCAGAGTCCTTATCTGCTCCGGTCATTTCCGTCTACACTGATAATTTAAATTTTCAGTACTTTCAGTTCTATGTGATCTGTGATTTATGTCATCTAATGTATTGGCCAATCAAAATATGTTAATTAAAAAAAATTTTTTAAAGTAAATAGATATCTAATTATACTGATTTTTCCTATATTCTAAGACATTCTTCGATTTTATATGTGATATACAGTATACTTATATATGATTTATTTTGATGTTATTAAAAGACTAGATACATGTATGTGCATAAATCACACCCCTCCACCAACCCGAACAATACTGAATAGTGATACTAAATGTCTTTGCAAGTAAAAATGTACATGTATATTGTAATTGCTGCCACGTGTATTTTGTATTTTGGTTTCGTGAAAGCTGATACGTATAAGCACTACGTGGCAGTTTCAATCACCTGTCTGTAGGTGTTTGGACACCCACCCCTATCTGCCCCTGGACCCCTACTGAAACCCTGAAAAAATTCAACACTCTAAGGCTTACTATAAGGTACCAAATACAAAACCACCGATAAAATTTTAAAAAACAATTCCACTATCAAAATTATAGTTATAGAATTGTTGGACTTGAATTAGGTAACCGAAAGAATACGCCTGAGTCGCCGAAACGACGATTTCCCGTGCTCCACATTGTTTGGCAAATGAGTATAATAGTAGGCTTTTCACCTTTCTATAACTATAATTTTGATAGTGGAATTTTTTTTATATAATTTTATCGGTGGTTTTGTATTTGGTACCTTATAGTAGCTTAGAGCGTTGATTTTTTTCAGGGTTTCAGTGTCCAAACATTGATACTGCCACCTGTGGTCGTTTCGGGCTTTAAATCTGTAACGGTCACAAGTTTGATGCTAATGTAAGTCTACACTATAGAATGAAGAATGCAGATCAGCGTGATCATATATTAACTTTATTTTTTTAATTGCAAGGTTTATTTTTTCAAATAGACAGACCCTGCTTACTGGCGTTATTTGAATAAATACGAGTATGAACTTTGCGCCAATTAGATTTTTTTTGGTGTGTGTCTTTGAGTTTACATCTACTTTTACTCGCCATCGGCTACCCATATGGGCGATTCCTCCAGAACAGTATTAGTCATTTTAAAGTTTAAAAGGATAGTGCAAGATATAGATATACAGAAATATACCCCAATTACAGAAGCTCCTCCTAGTTCTTTAAACACTCATACACGGGACCTAGATTTAAAGTTCCATCCGACAGACTGTTTTGGTATTTTTAGTTGGCCAGCCTGGGAATCGCACCAACAATGTCGAGAGTACAAGTCTCACGCTCTAACAGAGTGAACTATGCGGGATTGCACATAATACTCTTTACCTAAAAAACAAACACCCTTTTCACCAGGTTTTTGCTCGCTCTTAAAAGAAACATGTGTGCGGCTATACTCAAACCCAACTTGACAACACCCGGAACATCTCGGATGACTTAAATAAATCTTTATATAACGTTGTCGGAGAAAGCCGAGTTGGTACTATTGTCCCAAACGTCATAATTATACATAATATGCATGCACGTTCTCCCGTTGCTTAACGTTAAAGATTCAGATATATCACTACGGTCTCGCAGTTATAATATCCCTCTTTTCTTCAAGTTCTTATTCTCTAGAGGATAGAGATAAGTCTTGCATGAAAGTTACTCGACATATTTAATGCTTCGTATATGAAATTTTAATAATTAACCAATGTATTTCCGATTTGTTTTCTACAGTATGCTTTACATATTTTCTATAGAATTACTTATAAATCATATTTGCCAATTGTATAAAGAATCAAGTGACTTATAGGCCCAACGTGGCAGGGTGTTGTAATATGCCATGTATTTTGTACATAACACAATGTCACTCTGATAAAATTTACTTACTTATTTAATGAAAGTGAGAATTTCTGTATTTCTGTTCTGTCTGCAAGAAATCCTAAACATGACTTTACTACTTTTACTTCAAGAAAGGTTTAATACCCAACAACCGGCCAACCACCCCCACTTCCCGTATATCTGTTAGTTCTTAGGTAAATCAAATGTATGTTTAATTATGAGTATAGATCTATATAAATTGGTTCTGAGACGTACAGCATTTTATGTCCGAGATAATGATTGGTTCTGCAAAAGATCTTTGTCGCTTCTAGAAGAGAAGCTTCGTTTTGCGATCATATTTTGACACGACCATTCGAGAATTTGACAATGCCATCAACATAGAAACATCCATAAAATAGTTTCTCTTTTTTAATGAAAATATCATTACCATTTAAAACGTCAAACAGTAACCGGGTATGTTCTTCTATATCACATCTGCTCCAAACACACAGTGCTAATGTACCCAGAGTGTCAAAAAGAGTTTAATAACGGTATAAATGAGTAAAAAAGCTTGGAATCAAACTCTCAGACATATATTTGCCGGCCTGCAACTGATGTTTGGCTATCAATATTGACAAGTGTCACATTATAATTCAAACGTATAAACATAATATAATTATCACCCGAAAACAATTAGCTTTTCGGTGACACGTTTAAATAAGCGACATTTCGCGTCGGGTCTTATAAATTAATACACAAATATGGCAAAAAATCGATGCTCATTCATAAAACTAGGGAAATCCCGATTTTCATCCGTGACATCCCTTCACGCGCGGCTGCTTGAACTATTTTTAGCTCAAGCAGCACCTGCTCTTGGCGCGTGCCAGTCACGTGACCGTGAAGATGTTTCATTATTTGTCGCGTGGCAGTTTGATAGTCAATGACAAACAATAGAAATATGAAATGACACCGCAATTAGGGCCCTAAAGGAGTGAGCGGGTCCTTATAAAATTGTTAATATTATACATTTTGGAGGGATTGAATTTTCAGAATTATTTACCGTTATTTCGTGTCATTTTATGTTCAGTGGGAGAATAACGTTAAACCTACGCGGACTGACATATCAAGCGAACAGGTGATCACATCTGTTACCAGACATTAATATTTATTTTGGAATAAAACATCAACAAGAGATTTAAATCACACAGGGGATAATGATAGTGTTATTTTACATTTTAGGGAAGATATAAGTTGTGGTTTGAAAACGTTGACAATTCTTTCATAACATTAAATTTATGAAACTACATAATTATGTTTACATCATGCGTGCGGAAAACCAGTTACTGGCTATTCGGTCACATTTAAACGCATTTTGTTTTCAGCGACTTGATTTCTGTAAATAAAATATTTACATTTACGGTTGTTTACAGATATCTAAAATGTAAAAATTGCTTTCGGAATTGTTCGTATTTATATGATATATGCAATGAACTTTAAATTTTGTTTAAAGAGATGCAAACTTACAATTTTTATTAAGGTAAACAACAGAGCTACCTCTTTTAGACTACATGTATATGATAAATTGCTCTATCCTACTTTCGAACAAGTGCATGTCGCCAAATTTTAGAGTCAACAAAGGTTTAATGTTGTTTTATTATATATTTTTTGTAAATATCAATACCATGTGGATTTAAAGTTTCCAAGAAACGTAAAATTGTTTGAACTGCAGTTGTGGCGGCGTTTCCCAGTTAGTGAATTTTGCATTGAAATAGACTATTTAATCATGAAAGAAATGCTAACTATTGCTTCATGTCTTTTATTTAAACAAAATTCCAGATTAAATATGAAAATGATTTAGGGAGATCTTACGGCCAGAATATTATTTCAAATATTATTCAAAACCAAAAATAAATCATTGAAATAAATAAATATTTTTTTTTGGGGGGGGGGGATGGGGGGGGGGAAGCATGTAGTCATACATTTTTTAAGTATTCCATATGCACTTTACTTTTCATACTGTTATTTTGTCCTTCCATTTTTCAAGTCGTTTATGGTTTTATTTATTTTCCTCACCGATGTACAATTAATATCTTATTACTAAATGAAGCCAATAATCGATAGGAAATAAACGTTAAATAAAATTAATATACGAAACTTATCTAAAGTCAGAATTCGGCATAGATGTGGTAGTTATTAATAAACATGCGTTTTAAAGGACATATAGGCGGTGATCAAAAATGATATGGGGAAAGTATGTATAGAAAGCTTTTCGGTGCAAAAGATATATAGGATATTGATACAACGCATAAGGCAACAAAGCAGCCGTTTGACTGTGTGTCAGGATTCAAACCATATTTAGTTATGATTGCTTTAGACTAGAAATTATTCCTGCTTCAGAGT